TAGTCGAGACTCCCGGCAAAACTCCAACGGGAGTCCCAAGTTTATGAAAAACTCCAGCAGGAATCGTAAGGAGTCCTGATGACTCTCGCAGGAACTTTCTAAAGTGAAAAGTCCAACATGAAGTCATAAGGAGTCCCCAAAAAATTCTTGCAGGAGTCCTGTCGAGAGTCCTGTTGAAAATAATTGGTTTCATTTATGGGTAAGGTTTTGAATAAGAATAAAACAAGTTTAACAGCAGAAGACAATTCCATTTTCATTTATTTATAAACACTAGCACTTTCGATGTCTAAGACATCATCTTCAGGTGAAAAAAACATAATCTCATCTAAAATTACACTATAGAAAAACCAGACATTAGCAAAGTAAACAAAACACACGCTTTGAATGAAATGTGCATATAGAATGAAGTTAAATTCCTTTCATTTTCACTTTTTTCCTTATTTCTTTTCTGTTAAGAGACACTTGTTCTTCAGGAAATATGACTAATGGCACTGATCTGACTGTTTCATTTAGATTAGGTTTAAGTGCTATAATGTGTAAAGATTCACGAATTTTTAATCGATATTTGTTTGAATCTTTAGCTAAAATCTTCCAATTCTCCCAATTCATTCGATGTTTTTTCTCACGTTCGTGAACTGAGATTGGCGATTTTAAATCGTAATGTTGCTCAAACGTTTGAATAACATTATCCCCCTCCTCCGGTATATCTTCCTCCTCAAATTCATAGAGTTTAGGCAACGACGTACTTCCCTCGTTAGTCGAACAATGTGGGCGCCAACATCCGATATGGCTAGAATTTTCACGAAAGGTAGACAGTTGGAGAAGAAACCGATGTATTTTTGTCTGGAATTTTCTAACATGTTCTTCTAGTTTTTTGAAGAGTCCGCTTGCCATCCCGTCATATTACAACCCTTCGAGAAAATCACTCAATCGAGCCGTGTTAACTAACAGTTAGTAGTGTTAATACAGCACATAAATTAATAGAAATAGCTGACTAACTGTTCTTAACTACGAATCGGATATATGAACATTCTAACAGTTCACTCATAACAGAACAAAGTGTACCAAGTGGAACACGAAGGAGGGAAATGTTGCTTGATGTAACAACACTATTGAAATGGCTTTTTCTATAGTTAATCATGAATACACGTGCAATTAATTGCTCAAGATAAAGTGATTATGTAGATTTAATGATGTCAGTAAGGTAAACCGAAAACTACTGCGAAAGATGTGTATATTTTCTTGTACATCATTTGTTATGGATTAATAGTGCCTCTCATACTCTGGTAGAAACTAACTTGATAGTTTTCGTACGTATATGTCGAGTAACCTGCTTCACTAGTACAATACTCAATCCACTGTTGTTCCAGATATATGGCTTCGTAAAAGTGTTATCAGTTTTTTTTAGTGAATTATTTTTTGTTGTGTCATATTTTGTGTTGTATTAGGTTACAGAGCGATGGTTTAAAAGCCAGAAATTAAAACAAATAGATCACTAGTAAGTAAGTTTTTGATTAACACTTAAGTAATCAAACGACAAATTAGCCTCAAATTAGCGTGTTTGCTCCATAAGTGCATCCCTGTTGTAATGTTTGTTCATATTCTAATTTTGCAGTATTCAGATCGTATTCTACAGCTAAATTTAACAACATTTTCACTGTATCATCTGATAACGTTGGTTTTCGGGATAGAATATGAACACAGTAGTTTGTTATACCAAATGTATGCATGCAATCATACTCGACACTGTATTCATCTGATTTCAAGGCAATGATATTGTAAGCAAGTGAACGAAATGTTTCATTATATCGACCAGTAGGTATTACATCATCGGTCGTCAATGTTTCATTAAAAATGAGTAATTTTCCTTGAGGCGTTTCTCTGTTACACGTATTGGTCACAATTACTTTCCTGTCGCCAATTGGAGCTACGTGTATACTAGTGCATACGCAAGATTTTTCAAATATTGCACCACCTGCTGTTTGAATTTTACCAATCTCATACCATGTACCAGCATACTAAACCAGATAAAACATCATTATTAACACTTGTCTCAAGTGAAAAGATCTTTCTTCAAACTTCTATTGATTACCTGATCGATAGTGTAACCAGGCGCAAGAGGAGGTGTTCGACAGACGGGATCGGGCCAAGCCCTGACCGTTATAACTGAAAGAATTATGAGAAATAGTATTGATATCATATTTTTTGTTTCCCTTTTTTTAAAAAACTGGAAGAAAGCACTGCTATTATTAAGCGCTCTGATCACGCATATGGGGTATTTCTCACTAGTTATGTAACAATCTGTTGTGAAAAAATGAAAATGATCATATGTAATCAAAGATATTAAAACTCAACGAACTTTACTCCTCATCGCATCATGGATATTGTTCATACTACTTTCTTGTATAATTTATTTTATACCTCTTTCGAACAATTAAAGACATAAATATTAGTACCCTGTAAAAAATAGTCGTAGATTAATAAACTATCAAAAAGGGTTTATTGAGACCAATAAACCTTTTAAAAAACGCTTTTCCGTTTTTTATATCCAAAAA